ATCAATCTTGGATTGTGGACTAAAATTTAAAATACTGGATAAATAATTTGTCATTAAGTATCATTTTGTAATCCATTCGAATTCTTATTCGAATGWTATTGCGTAACGTCCTGAAGAGCCGATTACCAAAAAAAATAAAAATAACTAAACTAAATACAATATCCTGTAGTTATATGCCATCCACAATTTGTTTTTGGTACATGGAAATAACAAACTACTATTTTATTTGAGCAAGAGATTAAACCATAAGCTTGGTTTAATGTTTTCATTGACAAACAAAAAGCAGGACACGCGTTCCTTAAACAAGCATCATATGGAAGTGAAGTCTTGTTAACACTTATAACGGCTATATATAGATRATATTATTACCAAATATGCTTTACTTAAAGCACTTACCTCGGACTAATGGAACTCTTTGAACAAAGATGAACACCAGGAATAATAAATGTTCTTTCATCTCCATCGCGTCAAATGCTTGAATGATGTGTGATTTTACAGAAGTACAGTATCATCAAAGGTTCTTCGTCCGTTTTAAGCGGCGCTTTGTTTACAAAATAATTGTRATTAGCATTTTCGGAATGAATGTTGTCCTTTGCTTCAGTTTTAGCTTTGAGCTTAACACTGTTTTGGTAATAAAATTTGTACAAATGAATATCTTTATTGTTTTATTGCAGGATCTAATTGGCAGCGATGTGGTGTAGGCGTCTTTGGGGCATAATTAATTTATCTGAATTTTCCCTTTGTTTTTATTAACTCTGCAGCCAAAAAGAAAAAAAATTGATGAGATGCTTTGTGCGAAATGATTGATATATTTCCAAATCACGATATAGCTCGCTAACTTGCAAGTTTACAGTCGAAAATGGGAAACTAGTTGTTTTTAATTCTTCTTCACGACAAACTTCCAGTTTTTTCTAATAAATTTCACAACTCTTAAAGAACAAAAAACCCTTTGACGTCATCGACTTTTGAAAGAAGCGTTGTTTAGCTGAATTACCTATTTGTCGCCTCCTGCGCTGAAACTGATGAGTTCGTGAATTTGACAACAACTTATACTTCGCCTAGAACTAGTGATACAAGTTATATCCCAGATATTTTGCAGATAAAACTATTATCTGTCATTCGATAACTTCGCATGTAAATAAATGTCAACAAGTTATATATCCAATCATTTTGTACAAATCTCTTTCAAAAATGGGAATAAATTTATAAAAAATAATCGCCATATTTCTTACTTCGACTTTTGGRCAACTCTGCTTCTCGTATACTATTCGGGAATTTTTAAATGATCTCATAGCTTAGAAAGCTCAATTGAACTTCCAAAATGTCCGAAWAACGGGATTTTTATACTTTCCACTAGTACAAAGAAATGAATCGAAGCTCTTATACGTATTTTTCGTTTGCTGACAACGTCCTCATGCTTCAAGCTGTGAAAAGGACTTCAGTGAGAGTTCGAACATGCGGTACTAAGGTCAATTGTTGTTCATATTGAGTTAAATTTCAATATAAATGCGGAAATACTGCTTTTGTCATAAAAGTGATTATTTTTTAAGAGCACTGAAATAAGACTAGAATTCAAAGACCAAGTAAATAGAACCGTGCATTTCAGTTTTTTATTTACAAAAATCAATCAAGTAAAAATCATTTTCTTAGAAAACTACTGTAAATGTTACTTTACTTACGATAGCTCGGCTAACCTGGGCGATGAAAAAAGTACTGAAAATTATTGCAAATGGACTWCCATGTTTTGGGTAAATAATGCAAATGCAAACAAAGAAAAAAACAGCTTAAGAAACGTTGACTTCACCAAGCAATGCTCTAGAGAAATAATAACATTAGCACATTATTTGTTGCAAATGATGTGCCCGCGAAAGATCCTAGCAGAGCAGAGTTTTAAAAGACTGATATGGAGTTGAGATAAATGTGGTATAGATAGAAAATTGATATCTTTGAGCGTTGAATTGATTTCTCATGATTGAGATATCCGTTCATTGACTAAACTCAAGCGACCCCCCTAATGCTCTATTTATTTTGTAGATATCACTGAAGCAAAATGATAGCTCAAAAAAATCCTTATTAAAATGGCAAGCGAAGTTACTCCTGCTACACAAACGGCGATATCTTCACATCTGAAAGATATAATGCCTTCCACTCGTGAAAATAACAAGTTTCCAGAAAAAAAACCCTGGTATCTCATGCATCGATTACTGCTGTTTTATGATAAATATATGACATGTATGTAAATATAAAGGCATTTAAGAAAAAAAACAAGTTCTCGGACTGGCAATTGTCGATTGGATATAGTAAACTGAAAAGGTAAGAGACGTAGTTACATTGAATGATATTTAAAAAAAATTATGATATATAGGTGTCTCCTTGATTAAAGGGCTACTTGGACGAAAATTGCGAAACATAAGAAAAGACTTGGAAATCAAATAGAACTATCCATATGGGTCTAATAACCATAAAGCAACAGATTTTATGAAGATATTGATACAAATCCTTAATAATTTGGGCAAAAAATGTTGGAGTAGATGACGTCATTTACTACATCTTTTGAAAATTTCTGATGTGGGACAATTCCAAAACAAAGATTTTCCCGCAATTGCTTTTAATAGATATATGTGAGTCATATATTTGTATTGCTTGAAGTTTTGAAATAAGGCCATTTTCATGCAAGTAGCACTTTAAACTACATGTCAGTAACAATAGCGTCTTTCAGTTGTCCCATACCGTTCTATGCAACAACCTCCCAATATAACATTTTATTTGCAACTTGAGTATTATCAAATTCTTCTGACAGATAGCGAAATTTTRAATATTCCACAAAAAAGTGCAGGTAATGACGTGGTTTTAAGGTTATTGCCAGGATGAGCTGTAATAATAAATATCGAAGTATTATCAAATTCATCACTAATATGAAATTGTAAATATTCGACAAAAAATGTCGGACCGTAATATTGTGTTCAGGTTATTGGCAAGATTAGCTGGACCCAGAATAATATCAGAGTACTATCAAATTCTTCACAATGAATATGAAATTCTATATATTATCCAGGTTATCCAGGATTTGCTGGACCCARAAAAATATTTCTTCCTGGATCATCAGTGGTCAAGTCCTATTGCAAATGGTRGATTTGACTGTGAGGGTGATAGTGTTCGATCTTAGGAMGTTGTGAGCTTYTTGCATGTAGAAGGACAAGCTTTAACAACACCTCCGTTAAAGGTCGCTTTAAGRATGCTTTCCCATGTCAGAATTTGTCCAGGCATGTTRAATCCTRTGGCCGATTGGCAATTGTAATTGTATATTRAGCTTGCTGTGGCGTCKCTATTTATGGCATTACTCCAAATTTCAAGGTCTGCAATACTTCCCCTCATCAACTTGCTSTCGTCGAATCCATCCTCTTGATGCATCTGACCCAAATACATCGTCCCTCCAGTCTCGACCTTTGTACCCKTTGAAATGCCTGACGATGTTGCACGCTTGACACCATTTTTGAAAAGTTTGACTTGTTCTTCACTGTTTCTCCACACGATAATAAAGTTTTGCCAGGTGTCGTCCCTGTTAAGTTTCGATTGAAGAGMTCTGGGAATCATTTAAAATCTGKTAAGTACATCGTTTTTAGTCKGTATTTTAGAATTGGGAGCTAAATTAATGGGACGCAATTAATAAAGGACCCCAAAAAAGGCGCACTTCATTGGACAAAGAATCTCTTCGGTTCCAAATTATGTAATACGATTTAGTACGTCTCCTTTAAAAGCAATTTGAGCGCTATATTACGTAGACACACTTTGCCTCTGCAATACTATTCACGGCGACAAGATGCATTATGTAATTTCCGAAAGTACAACAGAAGGAGGCAACGGGGTCTGTTCTTCTAAATAGCTGTTCTTGTGCAAATGTTCTCCTGGGAAAGAGATTTTGAACTACATTGTTGACAATCTCACAAGCACATGTGGCACCCTTCCTTCTTTAMAATAATTTTGTTCCTGGAAAACGATTCTGAGGTCTATACATGGTTTTCATGGTCAAAAACCGCTGATTTCTTTTTTATATAGTTAGGACATTTTTCTGGAAAAAAAGTTTTAARAAGCATTCCTTGCCTGGAAGTTCTTTTTTCCTGAATTTCTCGCTGAACAGGCATAAGAACAGGTATATTTCTCAGGAGCCCGTCGGCTCCTCCTAGTACAAAGTGAGTCATACAGTTGTTTGTCGAAGGTCCACGTGGAAGAACCTTTGTGCAATTTTCTCAAATACGACAAGAGGTCATTTGAAAAGAAGTGATCAAAAGAAATGATTGAAACGGTTCTTGGATGCATGTGGACCTTTAATTTGCAGAAATTTCTCCTTTTTTTATGCCTTGCACCTTAGCACTGTCATACTAGAGCAATTGCTATTTTACTTACACACTGTCGCCGCCAATCATAATCTCTGCTACACCGTCCTCTTTAATCGCCACAGACAAAGCAGAGGATTTCGAACTATCAGAATAGTAAGAAAAGACCTGAAGGATCTTATCGTATAATGAAGAAGGCTTCAGCCAAAAGTTTAAAGTAAATGATGTAACTTCCTGGGAAAGAGCTGAGGATATTGCCACATAGTCCTCAGTTGATTTTCTTGGAAAATCAATCTGACAATCTGAAAATATTGCAATAGTATACGAATTTAAAATTTTAAATATCGTAAATAAATTGAGGTAGTTGCATTAGATTGACGATTTCCTCTTCACTTCACGTTGTCCATTTTAAATGTTTTATTATACTTAACCATTTTGAAATTTAAAATTTGAACGCGAAAGAAAGTCCATAACACATAGAAATAGTCAAATTCATTCGTGTTTTCTTTCA